GAAACTAATAGACAGATGTAGTAAAAAAAGATTAAACGAAATTACGAAAATTAAAAAAATTAAAAAGCAGTGAGATAAATGCCAAGAACATCTTTCTGACATAGAAAAGTTGAATATTTTAAACACTATTGAAAAATGAATGAGTTTTGCCAATAAATTATATTTGCTTAATTAGAATGGCTAACGAACTCAAACTTTCATCAAAAGATGTTACGATAATAAGTAATATCAACACACTGCTATAATTAACGACAGACTGAGCTGAAACTAGAAATCCGAACGATAAATATGTTATGACATTTCCGACTCCTGGCCCACTGCAACACATGTTTCGCCGATTCGATTTATAGTATCAGACAACATAGATGTTAACATTTTCATTAATCAACCATCCTCTGAATTAATACTAAAGGTGTTAAAGCCTGCGCTGCCCTGTTTAGTGCCTTCAACGATGAATCGACCGCCCGACCGATCGACAAAGCATCTATACAGCTGAATGATGTATGCGACGCTCACCTCCACACCAAGCCGCATTTTGCAGACTTAACGACTGCACCTCAAGCAACGCTCTGTCTACATAGCAACGCCATATAAATTACTTGGCTTTTTGCGCTGTCCATCTCGACCCAGCTGACCGAAGTCGTTGTTGCCGAAAGCGTAGACGGAGCCGTCGTTCAGCAGAACCAGTGTATGATGATCAGCAGTGGCGACGAGCCGAACGTCGGCAAACAGACCAGGTGGTCGCAAGAGACACATGGTCGAAACACATGGCTCATCGATACCGCCGAGACCCAATTCACCATCAGCTGTGCTCCCACATCCGTACCATTCAAAGTCTGTCATCATTTTTCGTGTCACCGAAAAGTCCAGAAAGGGAACGAAAGGCAAGGACTGAAGGAATCGAAACCAGTACCAGACGAAAACATACACCTGCAATCACCCCTAAAAACGATACGCGGTTTAACTCTGAACTGAATCACACAATGATAAGTCAGATAATAATTACGCAATCGCTATTTTTTCAAATCTACCACCGCTCCGAGAATGGCGTCCATCAGACTGTAAAACCATAATCACAGAAGAGCATTGATTTTCAGGTTCATACAGCAAGTCGTGACCTCTATGCTCCATTACTTGCCTGTAGCGGAGGCACAGAGTTTTTGTACGGTCAGACTCTGTTACCTGAAGTAAATTCTATTTTTTGACAGTTTTATTGCTACTTCGTGTATCTATCAACAAAAATCAATTAATAAAATCATGAAGTCATTTCGGATAGCGGGATTGCTACTTCATAGTGCCTTTCGAGTGTTTCCAGTAAACCGCCGACTATGTGCCGTGACTCCGATTTCAAGTCACCACTGTGCTTAGCATTCTATATAACTGAGCAGTTTTGCCCACTTTATACTCTCTAGGACGTGCTATCTAAAACCTTGCGGAAAGCGCGCTTGGTGATTTTCTGTTGAGTCTATTTTGAAACATTATAGAACGCAGCTAACGCTATCATCAAGACAACAACCTATCCTATGTCAGATGTCAGGCGAGTTATCCCCTAGTTATATAGGCATCTCAACTTTCAAACAATTAGCCAGCTTAACGGAAGGGAAAGCAGAAAGAAAAAATCATTTAGTTTTGCGTGAGGGTGCTGTTTGAAAGGAAGGCGATATGTATGTTGCTGTATGTTGTTGTATATTATTGTAAAATTACGAGTGTGAAATGACACGTCACTGAACAAGGAGAAGTCGTTTTCGCCGAGGTGCCTGCATCTTTAATATACATCGGTAATTCTTGAGGCAAAATGAAGCATAGTCCCCTTACTGCTGTGCTATTATTTGCCTTTTTTACAATTGTTATCGATTGCGTTTTGAATATTCAAACAATTTATTAACAATTCACACTCGTCGCATCTGCTGCATCAATTATTCATACTGCTGGGAAGTGCGTTTCAGCGGAATGCCGTTTCATCATCTAGTCTCTGCATATAATCTACAATAAAATAATGAGTAAAAGATTGGACGAATCCGGCACAGATTTAATTTCCCAGTGTGATAAAGTCAAAATCTAACGTCATCGGTTATCGCGACGGTCATTCAAGCGAAGAGTGTGTATTTGGTCGTGATTACGAAAAACTGGTCTAATGTCGGTGTTCCATACACTTTCATGACTGGGGTGGGGGGACATTTTCTGCTCCCGGAGTTTCATCAAGCTTATGGTCCAGCGCTGATCACAGTTTCTATGCTGTCAGCCAAGAATGGCTTATTTTAAAGGCAGAATCTACAGCTGTGTTGCAAACATAGCGCATAATCTCCCGCTTACTTTCCACAGAGTAGTACTCATTTGTCAAAGTCAGAAGAAAGGTTGATGAACGTCTCGGCCGGCACTCGAACCAGTGGCTTATCAGTTCTAAGTCCGACGTTCAATGAACTTGGCAGCCACGGTCCTGGATGACCAAAGCTCAAGATATTCGACTTATGCGAAGTGCCTTAATTTGAATGAGATCGATCGAACCGGATCCTATTGCTGCTAGCTAGAACCTGATTCAACCGTAAAATATTCTATAAAACTAACGGCATGCTTAGCTGGAACATCAGGATAGGGCAGATCGCAGAATGTCAAATTTGCAGTCGAAACCTCGCGGCTTCAAACGTAATCAGGTAAACTTGCGTGTTATTCTTCTGAGGTAGACAAATGAATACAACCACGTTTGAAGAAAGTAGTGGACTATAGATCGTGCGTGCTAGCCACAGGACTGCAGATGGCATTGTGGCGGAATTCAGTTCGCACCGTAAGTTTTATGGGAGGGAAGCGCATGAAACAGACATGTCAACGGTTGCAGACTTCCCGCTTCCACTACCAGTTATAACGCACCTGAACGTGCTACTCATTCTGTCGGGTCCAATTACCTCTAATAATGTGTTCCCTATGTCTTGAGAGAACAAAATCTTGTATTAGTCTCTTCATGAAGGCATATACCATGCCATTGGTATTTTAAGCTTGACCTGTATTACTGCTTAAAAACCTATGACGATGGCTGAAGTTTTTCTTTTCTGAAACTAATATCAAACTTAAATACAATTACATACATCAAGGTTAAGGTGAACTGCATTTGCGCGTAGTCCATTCACCCAGCTAGAGCAGTTCTGAATAACGAACAAAATCAAGCATGAGATTCGCCTGTCTACTTCAACATATACGCGCTCCCGCCTGAAAGTTAGTCATTCATTGACGAATTATTTTTGAAATCAATATCGCTTTGGCAGGCAAAACTTGATCTTCTTGCTTCGTAAAAACTCTAGCAGAGGTTAGAATCCATATATTTTCATCTGCCTGTAAGAGTAAGACGCTGTCTTATTTGCTCACTACGCCATTCACACATTTAGCAACTAACAATTCTGTGGCGAGAGCATTGGTCCTGTGTTCCGTGATGTTATACCACTGCCTACACGGTAGGAGAAAACTACTTC